CTCTGGATTGTTTATTGTAATGGATCCTGTATTTGTCTTTGAATGTAAAGTTTTATACTTTAATTTTTCGGCAACATTGAGAGGTTTTATTTGTATGTTTTGCATTATTTAGCCTCTTCAGAACCTTCATATGTTTTCAGTCTGTTAAAGATAGTATTATTGATAGCAGTACAATTTGCACAATGCCCGTTTTGTCCTTGGAAAAAGTTACTAAAAACAAGCTTTTGTCTAAATTAAGGTGATTTCATGTTTCTTTTTTCCACATAATGCAACCGGTAGTGCTTATGATAAAAAAAAAAAAAAAATTATGTTATCGGTGATCGGCCGTGATCGGCCCTCATGGGTGATAGTTTTGTCACAATCTGATCGTCGGCAACAAGCAGCCTGAGGTGTGGTGCTCAACTAAAATATTTCATCCTCCTCTGACGTGTCGGCCAACTTCCTTCATAGACAAATTCACAGTGAGCTTGTTTAGAAGAGACAGTCACCTGCAGGCGCGGTCGGGTGAGTTGAGGATCTCGTAGTAGAAGACGGAGAAGTTGAGAGCGAGGCCAAGGCGGATTGGGTGCGTGGGCGGCAGCTCCAGCATGGCGAGGTCCGTAGCAGTTTTGTACGCCACCAGGCTGTTCTCTGCCGCCTCCTTTCTGTTGTTGCCAGTGGCGAACTCTGCCAGGTACCTGTGGTAGTCCCCCTTCCTACAGATGGGGGGGGGGATACAATATTACAACAGTTGAAGGTGTTACAAACTACTGACCTACAGATGAACTACAATATCCAGAAGTTAAACATATGGAGAAATAAAAAAATGCTCCGTTTGTGAAACATGGACCAGGTAGTTTCATGGTTTAATGTGACATTTTAAACAGCTAAATGGAGAAGACGGGCAAATCCTTCATAAGACAGGAAGGCAATAGACTGAAGATTCAATATTTAAAGCTACTGAACAGATCACCAGGATAAAGTTGGAAACAACTGAGAGGCTGCAGTGAAAGGCATAAAAGCAACGATGAGATTTGACGACATCAGTGGTTTACAGTTCATCTGAAAATCTTGTAAAGTGTCATTAGAAAACCTGAGCATTGAAAACCAAAAACTGCCATCTTGGATTTAGTGTTTACAGAACAGAAGTTTGGCATTTAATGCTGTTTTTATTGTTGTAATTTTATGACTTTGTACAGTTATATACAGGAAATGTGTGGACTTTCAATGCATGTTTTATAATTTTAGTCTGCATTATTAACTCTCCTGCTCAGGCACTACAGATGGAAACTAGCTCAAGCTAAATCTGGTGTAAAGCATCTTTTATTAATGTTTTTTACACATTGTCCACATTAAATAAACTAAATTTGATAAATTTTATACAAGTTGGGTTTGCAGTTAAATATTCCTTTATTTATACAACTCACCTCCTCTGACCCCTCAGGAGATGCACTGAACTGAAATCAAGGCTAAAGTTGTGATTCCCATTTCATATGTATTAGATTAAATCTGCACCTGCTGTTCAAATGATGCACAGCCGTTAGCCTTAAATTGTTGTATGGCTTTCTACAGTCTAATATGACAAATTAATAAAAAATGTCTGCTGTCAGTGAGACATTCCAATGAAATAAAACGCACATCATTGCTCTGTTTTCTTTCTGCCTGTTCAGATTTAGCAGGAGGTTTGGCATTAGGCAGCAACTTGCATCGGAAGGCCTTTTGGCTTGTTCAGCTGCTTTTAAATCTTAATGGTGCAATAAAACCAGAGTTAAGAGATGTATGCTTAATGAATACGCTAAAAAGTTTCCTCTGTTACTGGAGCACGGGTCAAAACACAACAAACCAAGTGTGCTGCAGTGATAAGAATCTAAAATGGTTTCAAGAAAGCATCTCTTCTCTGCCGTTGTCACAGTTCACATGAGAGCAGTTGAACCAAGGAACCGTGATCTTTCAGGGCATTTGATGTTTTGGAAAGGACTGTCCTGCAGCACTGATTCAGCAGCTTTCCGCATCACGCCTGAATAAGTGCAGCCAAAGTCTAACAGCGAGTGTGAGTTTTGAGTTTTTCTAACCCGGGTCAGGAGCTTGAATGGCGACGTGTGTGTAGCCATGATGGGGGACAACACAAGTCTCACCTGAACAGACATTTTGTTATGCAACGGTGCTGTGGGCCGGATCAGAACAAGGTTTTTCTGAGGCCTGACGGTTTTCATGGCAGACTGAGCTGGAAACCTGGCAGCACGTCATGGTTTCTAATCACAAACTACTGGTAGATCATGAAAACAGCTGAAGTATCAGCCTGTGTGACTGTTGTAATTCTCTGCATTCAAGCAATTACATTTTAACTTCAAAACTCAAAGTTTTATGTAATGAAACTAAGGCTGCAACTAACAATTATTTCAATAATAGACTATTCTGGATATGAATCGGATAAAAAAAATTGCCACATTCTGCAGATTTTATATTCAACCACCAAAGCCTTTTTTGGACAATATTAGAAATATATTAAAAGATGCAAATAAACAAATTTCCTTTTACATAAAAAACATTTTATTGCCCAAAATGCAACAGCATTCCTTTAGTGCTTGAACATTTGCAGCCTCAGACCTTTCTGTTCACTCATCAATATAGTATTTTTTTTTATCTTAAAATGTATATTTTTGAACAGTTTTACAATGATCTCTACTCAATGTGTAATGTCACTAAATGGCCTTTTCTATACTCCAGTAACAGATTAATTACCAAGTCAGCTGGCGATTACTTCAATAATCAATTAATCGTTTCAGCCCGACATGAAACACGTCTTTAAAGTTGCCCTAAAATAAATAAGTGTTTTTGCCTATGAAACAAACAAGCCTTTGCTACAATGAAAACGGTGCCTCCTGTCCTCTCAGTGAGAACCACAGAGTAATAAGTCATTAATATGTTACCCAACATTCAGAGCAGGAAGCACGTACATTTTGTTGTAGAAGACCTTAGACTCTCCCATTGCTGCAGAAGGGAGTAGGTGTCTGTCCAGCGCATCCAGGATGTCACCACAGATCGACTTCAGCTCCTTCTCCACCTGCCAGCAAACACACAAGAAACATTCACAGAAACCTTTTCTACAGCATTCCTACTGCTTGAGCTTTTTCAAAGGGGGAGAGATGCAAACAAATTAGGGGTGCAACGATTGCAGCTTTCTGGCCGATCACCGATTACCAATCTATTAAAACTCCTGACCTGCCGATTCTGATTTTGGCTGGTACCAATTTTTTATTTTTTTATTTTTTATCTAAAATGTTGCTAAATGTAGCAAGAAAGTTGATGAGTTGCCAACAGTGAGATGACTATTGTTAACTGCAAACTGATCTGGTGGGCCGGTCTGCTGGTCAAAGCTCTCTCACAGCAGAGCAGAAGAAGATAACAGTTGATTTAAATGTCTTTGCCGAGGTTGATCAAATCGGTCGTTAAGATCAGCTTCACATGTAAAAATCGGCCGATCACCGATTTCCCAATATTAGGGAAATCAGCACCGATAAATCGGATGGCCGATGAATCGGTGCATCCCCAAAACAAATGCAAGGAGGCAGAAAGACGGCAAAGTATAAAATATTATGTAGGTCAGTGAAATTTTTGCCATTCGGGCCAAAATGTAAGGTTGAGTGTACTTAAGGGCCACTTTCCTTAATTAAAACTGAAAAGTTTTATTTATTAAAACACTTGTTTTTATGATATACCAAACGGACAATATTTTAATAAGGTAATAAAGCAAAGTAGTCAAATTTTTGTAGAATATACATCTGTAAATCATCGTTGGTCCAAAATATAAAGAGTATTGAACAGCTGCTGTACCAAATGACAATTTCTAACTTTTTGGGGGTTTACAACACTCTTTCTTTTTACATTTGGCAAAAAAAGGTTGGGCAACACTTGCTGGTATCGGCAAATTGTAATCAATGAAAAAATAAACAGTGTTTATTGAAAGAAAAATACTTTGCCTTGTACCGAAATAAATGTTTAAAATTTTATGTGTCTGTAAATGTCAAATAAAAAATTCTCTCCATTCTCAAAGTGTTGGCAGAAGGACCAAACAAAATCATCCAGAGGAACGTAAATGGCTCCCAGGGCACACTTTGGACATCCAGGATCTAGAGCCAGGAGCAAAACAATGAATGACGGTGCTCACTGCAATTCTATGGCTTTAACTAGACCATTATGATGACTGATAAATGTCATAACAAAGGACTGAAATTAACAATTTTAGTAACCAATTAATCTGTTGATTATTCTCACGATTAAAGGGCTAGAAAAAAAATTGGCACATTGTTAAACTATTGAAGTCTTTCTATAAAATATTAGAAATGCATTAAAAATGGGAAAAACACAAATAATTAGATTCCTTTCTTTAAATAGGAAAATTAATATATTGTTCCTGAAATGCAACAACATAGCATTCCTTCAGTGAATTTGAACCAGGTGAATATTAAAAAATGCCACTTGAGTTTTGAGTGAGACATTGACAGACAAAGATGTTTATATTACATAAATATGAAATGTACATATATTTCAACAGCTTCAGCTTAATTATGGTTTACTGCTCTATTTTATTTTTTTCAGCAAGTGGCATTTTGAGTCTCTGTACTCCAATTAATTAACAGATTACTAAATTAATAATCGATTCATCCCACTTAATCTGATTAAATCAATAACATTTAAAAAAAAGTCCTGCTTGAAGCTTTCCTAGTCATTTATATAAATGGAACTTGATGAGAAAGCTGCAGTATTATTCTCAAATGGAATAAAACTGTGACTCTGGAAATGTAGGTGTACTCATCTCGGCAAGCCATTAGATCACTGTCTGCAGTCCGGCTGCCTCTCCCAGCATAATAGCTGCTCTTATTCCACTTCATAAAAGCATGAGAGAGTGCAGGGAGGACCCAGCAGCAATGACTCAGACATTGTAAGGTCCAGTAGCTGCTCGGCAGCGTGCATCATTCACAGGAGATTGTGATCTCACAATCACCAGGGCAAATCACAGCTGCTCTGACGTGACGCGCACAGGAAAGGAAACAAACCGGCAGCTTCCTCCCGCTGTATTTACCGTTTGCCTGTATTCCCGGATCATCTTCAGCTTCTCTTCGCCGCCCTTGTTCTCTTCCCTCTGTTCGATACTGCTGATTATCCTCCAGGACGCTCTCCGAGCCCCAATCACGTTCTTGTAGGCCACCGATAGTAGGTTCCTCTCCTCCACTGTGAGCTCCACATCCATTCCTGCCACCTTCTTCATAGATTCCACCATCTCTGTTAGAAGGGGGGAAAAAATAAACACTTTACAGAGCTAAAACTTTCACCGACGGCTTATAGCATTTGGGTCTTAGAAGGATCATTCAAAATAAGTAGCTGACAGGATATCCGCTGTTGGCCACCTATGCTTCATGATGCAGTGGCTTCATCATCATGCTGAAAGCGGTTCAGAAAAAAACATGACTATCAGACAATCGGCTGTGTGTGACCTTAACATGCATCAAAAAAACAGCAACTGACTGAAGTTGAACAGCAACAACCTGTGCAAACAAAAATACAAAGAGGAAAAATCAAAAATCCAACTCAGCTTTTTGCATCAGTAAGGTATTCAAGATAAAATTAGAGTACTGAGATGCAAAAGATTATTTAAAAGGGATCAAAGTTGCTATAATGTGACATGTTTGTGACTAATTTAGGATGAGCGAGTGAGACAGCGCAAGACTTAGTAGATAAACAGGAAGGGAAAACTTGCTACTTTGTATTCTTTTAGAGCTTTTAACCTCTGTCATATGTTAGGTTTGGAGCAGGTAAGGGTCTATTTTATAGTGAATACACATGGAAACTATTTTTTTGCTTTGTAAACACCACTGAACATATTTGATGCTGAAGATGGTATAAAACATGATAAAGCAGGCAGACTAGACAAAAACAACCTAAAGATGCCCATCTTATATGTTCATAGAGAAATTTTGAGTCACCAGGTTGTTGCTCTGCTCCTTGTAGTTAAGCATCTTTTACCAAGTTTGTGCTTTTATACATATGTTTCACCTTTTTTTACACTAATCAGTTTAACATGGCTGCCTCGTTTTGCTGTGAGCCATTTATTGTACTATAAAAATTACAGTAAAATGACTTAATGCTTCTCCATTCAGCAACATGTGAATTTAGGATAACTTTTAGGAAAGGCAAAAGTAACTTTCATTACATTCCAGTGAGGTTACAGTTTAGTCACCAAACCATAAATCACCCCCCACAAGAGGTCTCGGTCCAGATCCTGTGAATGAGTCATGGTGCATTCACTTAACGTTGCCGGGCAACGAGTGACCGGTGGCAAAGAAACCCGTCCAAAACAGCCCCCCTTTAACGGCCAGTAAGCGGCTATGACAGCGGCAGGTTTGCACCGGGGTGAAGTCGTCTCCTGTGATCGATCCGCGCAGCTCGCTCGCAGGAAACACCCCACCAAAATGAACAGCTGCGCTCCCACTCCCACTCAACAGGCTTCATGCGGCCAATCGTGCATTGTAGCTAGCATCGAGCGAATGTTGGCTCAGATGAAACTAAGACGTTCAACAGCAGCTCGGTGGTTTTATGTCCCGGAGATGCTTATATGGCGCTAACCGGTGGAGCTGAAGCGTTCAGACCAAGAGATGGGGCAGGGGAGGCAACCCCCCTGACAGCTCACGCTTCACTGATCCGCCATTTTGTTGTAGCCACATCGCTAATGTTAGCCGGAGTCAACAGCTTTCCTACGATATTATTGAAACCAGCGAGCTTTGTGACGGTTGGTAGGGATTTAAAGTAACGTTACTCTCGTTTAACAATAATAAATGTGGCATGTCAGTAAATAGCTGGCTAAAAAGCGGTGGGGGTAGCAGAGTTAGCTCCTCTTTAGCTGCCCATAGCTATCACTTCAGCTAGTGTTGCTTGGGGGAAAAAAAAAATCCGAGACATGAACGCGTCCCACTCCCGGGCGGCCCCTAGACTCTCACTTACCGTCATATCTTTCTGCCTGTTCGGCAAGTTTTGCCTGATAAACTAGGTCTTCTCTTTCTCCCATTGTTGAAAAAGATGAAGGGATAAGCTGGCAAGTTGGCAAATAAAAGTGTCAGATCTCTAACGAGAAGTCACGGTGGTGTGCCAGGTCTGTCGGCGGTTCCTAGAAACCAACTGATCGATGAGGAGTGTTCCGCCCCACCGGCAGCGCTGTGTAGGGATAGAAGAAAGATGGCAACCGGTCCCATCCGGGTACTAGGGACACGGACCACCAAAACGTATTTTTTAGTATGGCAGGCCGTTTAAACACATCTCATTGCTCTTCATCTGTAGTAAATAGAGTATGACATCCAGCCTTCTAAAGGATATTCCAAAATTAACAGTGAAAATTGTGACAGCCAATATATTTGTAAAAATACTTTAAAATGTAATATCTAACAGTCCGTGAAAGTGAACATTTCAAAATATATGGCCAGAGTGAAAAAAGTGTAGCAATAATCAGTAAATCAAAGTTTCCTATTTGTGAAAAAGTAATTGCCCCCCATATAAACTAAACTTTTGCCAGCCTTGGGGGCAACAGCTACCATCAAACATCTGTGATAATGGGTAATCAGTCTTTTCGATCTCATGGTGGATTATCCCTGCAGTTAGACTGCTGACCATAGTGTTTGTCAAGTTTTCTATAATTTCGTGGCTTCCCACACTTGAAAAGGAGAACTTGGAGACTTAAGGATTTCACTCAATTTTTAATTTCACCAGTGAGTGTGAATCAAAGAAGAGGTGAAAAACCTACAAAAACACATAGAAAGTTTTTTTTAACATGCATTTTAGAGATTTGGTTTAAAGTTAATTTATCTTAATGACCAATTAAATTTTTAAGACACATTTCTTAAACAATTTTAACCATAAATTGAAGTATTAAATTATTTAATTCTGTGTTCAGTTGAATGAAACAAATCCAAACATTTTAGAATTATTTTTTTTTCTTTTCCTCAGGACACAAGTATTTACATTAAATATCTTAAATATGCATTTAATAGAGCCAAACTGTAAAAAGAAAATAGCAGCACAAACTGTTCCTTCAATAAATTCTGCATTTCTTTTTATCAAACCCCAAACCAAAGTCAAATTACATTTCAACTGAGTCCAGTGAACGGCTTACCAGTAGTTCTTATTTAATCTATGTCCTTTTCCCATGAAATGCTGTTTTGGAGACTGTCTGCCTTCCTCAGCTCTGTTGCAAAAACCAGCCAAATGCTTGGTGGATTCCTTATAATACCTGAATTGAGGGCGCTGCTGATTGGACCAGATTCCTTTCACCTGCTGAGAAGTGCTGCAGAGTGGCACACTAATGTGTGAGTTTATGCACACACAAATATGTGTTCATGCACCCACATCTGAACTTTACAGCAGATCTGCTGTAAAGTCATTTGCAGCAGTTTGAGATTTAATTTTTTAAAAAGTCTGTGTTTAATATAAGCCCTGACGGTACTAGTTTTCGTCCTAATCAAGGCATTTGAGAAAAATTTTAGTTCCTGACTAAATCAACTCCTGGTCCCAGCAGTAAACAGACTGTTAACCATAGTGCTATCCGGCAAATCATTGTGGATTTTGTGGGGCAGATTTTTATTAATCACTCCCAAAGTTTACACAATTTTCAAAACTGTACTATCACATTGCCTTTTACCCTTTACAATAACAACTGCAGTTTTAAGAATGTTTTTATTCAACAAATATTTCAAGCTGTTTTGCAAACTAAATGTCTAATTATAGATTTGGACTTTTGATTTAATCCTGACTGATGACCCATTCTTGATACTTTGAGTTGCTCCTTTTGGCTTCCATCTACCCTCCTGCTTTTAGATTAATAAAAGCAGGAGGCAGATATTTACCTTGCAGATATAAGGTAAATATCTGCAAAGTCTTTTGGAAATTTTCCATCGCAGTGGAAAATTTGCAAATCACCGTCAGATCTTACATAGATTGTTGATAGAAGTTGCTCCTGTCGAATATTTTAGTCCATGGAAATGTTTGTGGGCAGAGCTACAAGGAAGCACACTCCCATAATGGACAATCTATGGATTGGACCAGGAAATTTGGAAAGACATTTTTTCCATTATGGTGCTGTAATAGTAGTTGTAAGCCACTACTTCCAGCTGCCACCAATGCTTTTTGAATATCGACTAAACTTCTTTTTCTTCCGCTCGACTTTCCATTAAAATGTTTGCATACAGCACTTTTATCTAAGCCATAACATTCCTTTATAAAAAAATCAATTTGTGGTCTTAAAGAGTTCACTACTATTAGTTTTTTGATGATAATCTAATTTTCTGAGATGTCTCAAAACCTTTTATAGTTTTTCACTAAATCAAAAACAGGAAGAAGAAAAAATCAGCAAGTCTGTCATTTTTCATCGGCTTGACTTTATTTACTAGTATATTAACACATTACATGCTACTGAAAATAAAAAGGTAATTTCAATTGTCTTGAAAGAATATAGTGTTATAATAAAATGGCACATTTCGATATTACACAGTTTCCACTGGCACTCTGCCACCTCCTTCCTTCTTCTGAAAGGAAATGAATGACTTCATGCAGGGCTACTAAAAAAATACTTCTTGGTGGTTTCATTGGCAACACAATTTAGATGATGAGTTATGTGGCAGAGCACCTGCTTATGCAGAGTGAGAGAAACGAGGAGGATTTGATCAGAACCACACAGATAAATGGACTGTATTAAAAGCTGGCAGTAAATAAAGGTTTCTCCTCTTGAGTCACTACAATATTACAAGAGCAGAAAAAAAAAAAAAAAAAAAAGAAAAGGAAAAAAAATGAAGGCAGGACAGAAAATAAGGTCAAAGAGATGTCTGGGGCCACCTGAAGACCGACGGCACCATAACGCAAACGGTGCATTTAGAGAGGCGTGAACATTTATTAGCACCCCTGATAAAGATGTGTAAAAAGCCTTAAAATAAACTCAGCGTTTTTGAAGCAGCACAAGATCGCTCTGAAGTAATTAGAACAAATATCAGACTTTAACTTTGAGTGCATTCATTCAGTTTGGGAGGAGATGCTCCTCTTAACAAGATCACCCCCAACAATCCCTTCAAATTAAGTGCAACTTAAGAATCTTAAAACTACTTCAGTGGCATACAGCAAGTGGCACCTTGGGTTTCCATAGCAACTGTTAGATGCTTGTGGATAATTTAAATAGACAATTAAGTTCATGTTTTAAATAAGAGACCTTTTTTAGCTTAAAATGTTAAACTGCTTATTTTTGGATTAACCGAGTAATTGAATTGTGAAAGTTGGTTAATAGGTGAGTTTTTTTCTTTTCAGGTGAAGCCAAGACTCTAAACATTGAGGAATTATGGGTAGAACATTTTTCAGACAATTTTTTTCATCTTAAACTCAAATATTTTGTTCAGTTGTGGCTTAATTACTGCTCTGTGTTCTTTCAGCAAAATGACATTTTTTGAGTCTGTATCCTCCAGTTAATTACTCGCTTACTAAATTAGCTGACGATAACTAAATTACTAAATTAGCTGAGATTAATCAATTCAATAATTGATTAATCTCCTGAGCCCTAGTTTGGGATTTTCTTTTTTAAAGGGTGTGGAAAACACACAACAGAAAGTACAGTAGAGGATCTGTGATGCTACAGGCCTGATTTGCATCATCATCATTAGACTGTTTAGTGAATTTCCAGATCATTAAATAAAAACACTGTTGGTTTCTGATGGAAGACTGACAACAAAACTGTTGCACACAGGATAATGATTAAAAACATGAGGCAATAACAAAAGCCAACCTTCCTCCGTGCTCAACTTTTATCACCAACTAAAAATATCCATTCAGACTTGAAACCACTGAATTTCTCTCCCCACTGAGAAAATACACAGAAATTAAAGGTTTCAGAGTAGAAAGCACTATAAGGCGTTTTACACATCTTTACCAGAGGAACCAAGAAATCCCTCCACCCTCTTCACTGTCATCAGGACATGCAGAACATGATCCCATCTGTCCGAATGTTGCTGCAGCGCCATCTGCAGGTGGCCGCAGCACCGCAACAGAGAGGAGGAGAGGATGAGCTCCCACAGATCACGCTTAAAGGTTTTCAGCTTTTGTTCACGAGTCTGCGTCATGATAAATAGTAGCGCTGATGATTGTCACAACAAAACACCTTCCTAAAGAGGCAAAAAACATTATGAACTACAAACCTCATAAAGAAATGGCGAAAAAGAAGAAGTAAAACAATTAAAAGATACAGTCTGCTTGGGCCTGTGCTTTGGAACTAAACAGGACTTTTAAATGAGGAAGAGCAAAAAATAAAAAAATAAAACAGAAACTAATAAAATAAAAATAAAAAAAGAACTAATTTGCTCAAGAAGTTCACAGAAGGCTTTAAAACAAGAAGGACAGGTACCAAATAACACTACTTTCTCCGTCCTTTGACACACACACACACGACGAGACGTGGACGCACCGCTGTCAGCTTTAGTAGGGTAAATTCAGTGGGCTGAATGCAGAATGCTAACATGATAAGACGGTTCTAACTAGAGTGGCTGGCAGCCTCCTACATTCAGTCTGTTTTACTTCAATCGTGTCCATCGGAGGCAGAGTGAGAACATGCGAGGGTCGGTCAGTTCCTCTGCCACAGAGAGATGTAGTGCCCTCCCAATGTTAAAAATCAAAGCAGCTATGAAGACAACTAGTAAGATATAAACAATACTCAGCATGAAATGAGAACCACAGTTACATCATTCCATAACAATATGTTCTATGAATCCTACAAAGGACTACTTGGTGGTGCGTGGTTGGAGGTGATCGGTGGAGCGAGGTTCAGGTGAGAGAATGTAGTGTTGCCTTTATCCCCACCTCGTCAACAGTCTCGCGGTTTCTCCATGGGCTGCGACTACGTCCAGTTGCTCTTACTGTAGCTGCTGGTTTGGACTCGAGTGTTCGATACTCCATTTAACCGAGGTCTACGCCTTCATGTCTTTTTGGTAACGGTTCGCTGCTGAATACGAGCCCCGCTGCTTCAGTCCTTCAAAGTCAGGGGTTCACACAGGATACTGCTGCATTCATGGCCAGTAAAGGAAGGAGTCCTTCAACAATGAGACGGAGCACGCCTCAGGTCGGGGATGAAAACTCTGAGTAGCTCCGATTGGCTTTTGTGGTTTCCGTTCGTTTTCATCAGAATCAATGCAAACTTAAAGTGGAGAAGTATCGAGAATTCTCCAGATCATTAAATAAAATGATCTGGTCAACTGACCGATGATGGTCAGTTGATGGTTTGCATACTGAAATATCGCCAATCTTCGGAGTGGAAGTTGTTATAGTTGCAATGACAGTCATTTTTTCATACCAGCCGTGGTTAGTCCGCTTTAATCAAACTCTCATTTGTTTGCCTGGAAGGTCCGGTTGGTTTGCGGAGGTGTGAACGCGCAGTCAGACTCCGATGAGGACCAAAAAAAGCTAACTGTTCTGGCTAAAAACCTAGGTCTCGGTTTGGTTGACATAAACTCTGACGAGGTTTGAATGCATAATGTGAATGGAAGCGGACTGGAGATTGCTCCAATGCAAGAAGTTCACAGGGCATTCTGGGTAAATACAACCAAAACAAACATGTGATTCTAGCGCTAGAAGAAGAAATGGCTCATGGGCTTACGCCAAAGACAAAACAGAAATCCTACCACTGCAGACTTTTCAACCAATCCATCAATCAATCAGTTTTAATTATAAAGCACCCTTCATACTAAAAGCAGCTCAAAGTGCTGTACAGATTAATAAAAAATAAACCAGTATGGAAAATGTATAAACTGATTTCTACATTTTTACACTGAGAATTTTGGAAAACTCAGTGTAATACACACTGAGGCAGTTGTTCTCATCAAGCTAGTTGAGCTAAAGGCAGCTCAAAACGTCAAATATAATCACTTTCTCTTGTAAAACCGTTTTCCAGTGAATGACATGACGTTGTCTCTTCTCCTAATTTAATTTCTAATGGCTGAAAATGGCAGCCAGAACAGAAATACATCCCGTTTTTGTTCCTAAGGTTCCTAAAGAGAAGCTGGAATCAGCTAAAAGTTGGTACCAGCATGTAAAGTTATTTAAAATCAACATTGGTGAATCTCTACTTCAAAAGAACTTCATGAGGAAATCTGACTTCACACAAACAAAGACGGAAAGATAATGTCGGAACTGTGAGCATGTTTAGATTAAAAGGACTTTTTAAAAATAGGTTTAAAATCGAGACGGGAATAGGGAACTGACACCTAAAATCCGTGGATGATGAAGACGCAACAAGAGAACTAAAATCATTTCTCCTTATTTCAATACATGAGGATCTGAATGTCAAATATTAAGTTGAATCGCTAAAATCTTTGAAGACTCATGGAAACCAGTTATTATTAGAGCAAACGTTCTGTTTTCCCATCTGGCATGAATGCAGCCTGAGTGACCCTTAGTGGAAGATTAAAATAAAAAAAATAAAATAAAATAAAAAAGACAGCAGCCATTACTGGTTTCCACACAGGAAGAGGAAGTGGTTGAACGCTGCGTCAAGGAGTCTCCTTAGGAGCGAGCGTCGATAAGCCGTCCACGGCAGGAACGAGTTACAGGGAGCGGTCGCCGAGTCCGTGGAGCAGCAGAGGCGGGTTCATCTTCCGTGTTGCAGTCTGGGAGAGCAGGAAGGACGAGGAGGAAGAGGAGGTGATTATTAATACGAGTAGAAACGGATCACGGCAGGGTGGAGGGGGTCCGACGAGGGGCCTGCTTTGTTCTTGGTGATTCTCAGAAACTGTACTTGGTGCGGCTAAAAGCTCGGGGAGAAAGGGGGTTGGGGGTAGTGAGCAGGATGGGTGGAGGGGGAGTAGGTGAGAAAAAGAGAGGTGAGGAAGGGTCTAGTACTAGTGTCCAGGTGGTGGAGCGGCGGTCCGCCCTCAGCTCAGTTCGTCCTCGGCGCTGTGCTGGTCCAGCAGCTTGACGTGCGTGAAAGGAAAGTGGCCATGCTTGCCTTTACATTCGCCCTCCCACTGGCCGTTCACGTTTATTTTGGTCACCTTCACCATGTCGCCCACCTGGGAGGGAGAGGGAGAGGAAGAGAGAGAGAACATGAGGAGCAGAAACACGTCAAACAGAGCTAAGATCAGAGTTTATACGGTACAATTCAAGCAATTTCAAGGTAAGTTTTCACACTTTTCCAACACCACGCAATACAAACAGACAGGTTCAATTCACAATTATACATATATCATTAATATAGTATGCTATGTTCTCCAGCAGGGATAATGTAAACTAAAATATAACAAAGTTTTATGTTTTAAAATGTCTTTCACAAACACCTGGTACATCGCAACAAAACAAATTTAACAAAAAAATCTCCCAATTTCTATAATGTTTTACAACATATAAAATATAAGCTAACATTTACTTCAATTGCACAGATCAATAACTCAATAAGCCATTGGGAATAATAAATATTAATTGCATTGAAACAATCCAAACAAATTGTGTTTAGTAAATGACCTTCCTGCTCAAATTAAATACTTAACACAACATAGAAAAATGTTTTCTGGCATTTAGCATATTGAAATAATTTTTGGTAATTCTAAATGACCTGAAACAAGAAAAGTTTAGTCTGATTTAACTTCAGATTAAACTTCAGTGACGGAAAAAATGAGTGTGTCTTTTTTTTATCAGGTGAAATATCTGGGTTCAACTATAAATAACGCTTTCCATATTTAGGCTTTTAATCGTACGTCATTGCACAAAGCTGTGCAGTGTGAATATCAAGTACTTTTAAGGACTTTACACAGAAATCAAGCACTTTTCAAACCTGGAAAACGCCTACTTGAAATTGAAGTTTTTCAAGCACCTGTCTTGTACAAAACCTGCATGTCGACGTTTGACCTGTACAGGCAGAGGAGCGGCTGGTCCTGCTGAGCAAACAGGTGCCAGCAGACAAGTACAAAGTTCAAGTCGACAAGAGCAGAAGAGGAACAATCTGACAACTCAGAGTGACGAAGATACCTGCTGATTCCTGACTGGAAACCTGCTGATTTCCTGTCAGATCACCTATCAGGATTCGTCACCAAACTAACTCCAATCCTTTAACGTCTGGTTTATTTTACATGTTACAACCAAAATTTTATTATGTTTTATTAGGATTTGCAATAATAGTGAAGCACGATTTAAAAGAAGATTTATGCTTGTCTGCATATCAAGTGTTTAATTCAAGATTCAGTGATTTTTTTTAATTGTTTTTATAAATAAATTAAAATATTTATAGACAAATGGTAAAATAAATTGCTCTGTGAGGGGACTCAATTAAAATTAGTTAATTGCAGGGTTTGTAATTAACTGACGGAAATGAATCGCATTTTAATTAAAAATCACAAATCCACAAAATAAATATTTTCAATTTAAAACTCATTTTGCTGCTAAATTATTTAATAAATAGACACATGAGCTCAGAAACAAATATATTTATTTTTTTCCAGCATTGTGTCCTTTAATAAATTAAAGTTTATTGGTCTTTGAGAGAGCGAACTTGAATTATTGTTCCATTATCAGTACTTTAATCGAAGACGGTCTCAAACAACATTATTGGAATAATTACTGGTACAATTCCAGCAATATTTGTTATCATAACAGGTCTACTGATCATTTAAAATGTTTTTATTTTATAAACAGACATTAGATCAGGACCAGTCACACTTTTATTCCACTGGATTCTGTAGAAAACCTACAACAAAACCAGAAACTCGCATCGACCCAACGCTTATCAACACTTTACTAAAAATAGAAGAAACATCAGCATTCATATAGAAAGTTAGTTATCTTTACAACTGTTTTAAAGTAGCCCAAGAAAACATTAAATCTGCTGCTTATTTGGATGCATGAATAAATTAGGCACTGCAGCATTTAAATTAATTACAGAGATGCAACACTGTGGATGAACTCTGCCAGTGTGTTTATGATTTCTCAGTAACTATCCAGCCTGTTTACCTGATGTGGTTTAATAACGATGTAGTCATTATTCTTTAGCTGCTAAGCTCTACTTTCAGGCAATCCTCCTCATGTTAGAGCGACCATCCACTTCTGGTCACGTTGTGTTTTACTCCTACTGCCGATAACTACAGCAGCCCTGAGTTTCTTTCTTTGTCGAGGAGTGTTGAATTATATGCTAATATATTCCACTACCAGACCCTCCACTCTGACTTTGTGTCAACTAGAGGTCGTAATCTGCTGCAACGTGGCCTCTCTGTCTGACTGGTCGGGACATCAGGGGAGAAAAAAAAAAAAGAACAAACGGTTCAAGCTGCAGATTTTAAAATTTAACAATGACTTTGGTTTTCAATAAAACATTAAGAGCAGATCTACATGATGGACTGACATGTTCATCATTATCAACACGCATCAGACGGAAATAAATTCTCTTAGATCACCTTCATCAGCTCAGGAAATCAGACTATTTAGTGAGCCAGCTTGTTGGAATTTAGAAGGATAAAACTTTGGGCAACGCTGACATCGTCTCTGCATCAAAACGTTGTAAATTGCCAGAAATCCTCTGGCTTTTATGCTTTCAGACAGCTGCTACGATGCGCAACCGCGGCAACAAGGCATTGTCTTTACTACCAAGAGCAGCTGGTTAGCATCTCATAAGCTCAAAAACACCTGAACTACGACAACTCCAAATCCCACATGAGTTGAAACTGAGGCTGCAGAGAGAGAAAGAAGTTCAATCCCCAACTCCAACGTCTCTCTGCTCAGCTTTCTAACCATAAGGAGGTTTAAAGAGAAGCGGCAAAAGCAAATGAGGTGGATTAGCAGTGTTTACCAACAACTGACGACATCATCTAATTGTGGAATATCATCTCTGCTGCCCGGATATGAACTATTAGCACATCATTACGGTCATGAGACTGTCATACAGCTACAGTCTTCAGTCAGAGGCCTCTAGAGTCACTGCAAGACTGACTGCTACTGTAAATTCTTCCCACAGCGTCACCATTAATAACGATTCTTTGAAGATATCTTGATCATGATGATGACTTATGACAACATTTAATTTCCCTTTGGGTAAAATAAAGTACTTTTGACTTTAATTTGGACTGACTGAGCCTCAGGCAGGTAACGGCTACCAGACTCCAACGTTCAACCTGTCAGCAGACTTTCAAACCAGCCTGTAGATAACTTCTTGTTCACTTTGATGGCAGGAAGTGTGACTTCCTTTGCAACCTTTGACATCACCAAACCATGATCGACTTTACAGATTCAAAAACTGAAGACACAAACACTGGTAGACTGCATAACAATATGATGCCATGTTAGAAGAAAACTGAATTTTGAATCATAAAAATATAATTCCTGTACATTCATATCAGAGATCCACTTGCCACTAAACTGATCAATGATGAGCTGTAATAAAAAAACTCAAGAAAAAAAAAAAAAAATACAGATGCACTGACCCATCTCTTCTGACTGGTTTTAGGTTTTCTTTGAGGTGCATCAGTAATACAAGAGATGTACAGAAGGAAAGATGGATGCATAAAAAGAAGGAAGTTCTCCAACGTCTCCCTGCCTGGTTTTCTAATCACACACCCAGACAGAGATTTAAAGCAAATGAGATGAATCAGCAGAGCTTAACATCACCTGATGGTGCCATCCAGGATGCGCTACTGTGGAATGTCTTTTCTGTTTCCCAGAAATTGAGCTGCCAACATGTCATGAGACTGTTATACAGTCTTCAGTCAGAGGTCCATTCAGGTTAATTGCAAGACTGACTGCTACTGGAGCATCACCATCCACAACAACACTTTGAAGATGTTTGGATCATGATGATGAGTTAGAACATTTAACTTCCCTTTGAGAGAGATAAAGTATTTGTAGACTGGATGAACCTGGAAAACAAAATTTTCAGACTGCCAAGGGATTGTGGATCTGCAGTTTGAGTTTTAAGTGTTTCTCAGGTGAAGCAAATGGCCGAAAGCATCGCCTGGTTCTGCTTATTTCTGCTTATAACCCCATGAAATATGTTGCATAATAAAAAGCTGCTTTCAATTGCTCGGTATAGATCTTTAATTTTTTTTTTTTTTTTTTTTTTTTTGAAAAAAGAAAAAGGGGGTCCTTTTTTAAACACCAAGGCCCAAACCGCCGGGCCCCCCC